GCTATTTAACGGTTAATCTTGGGTACTTCTAGATAAGCTTTGTACCCATCACAACTCGAAATAGTCTATAATTATTTCAGAAGAATAAAACCAGAGAGCCTCTTCCTAAAAACAAGAGGATAGTTCATGAACGCGCACAACTCCTGTTGCTGGTGTTGTCGCAAGTGGACAGCACAATGAACCGCAAAGGCATTAACTAATTTGAATTTCTCCTCCATAGATAGGTAAACAATGGTATGTGTACCGATGAAAATAGATGTGCAACACTTTAAACAAAGTGGGTAATTGAGAAACCCTATATTTTAACTGGCATAATGCAGACATAGTAACTTCTCCAGCCTTACAGCTATTTTCTCTAACGTTACAGAAACAACGCATTAACAGACATGCAACATGTTTTTTAAAACTTACCGTTAAGTCCCACCGAGCAGTGGAAATGTCACTCCCTTACAAGTAACTCCAAGTCGGTAAATCCAACCCGTGTTCGCTACATCTTCACCCACACTACCACATACATTCCCACAGTAGTGAAATTGTTTTCATCAGGTAGCATCGCACTGACAGCAACATCAGTGATTGTTAGAATCCGCTCATTAACCAGCAACACATCACATGCGGCAGACACGCAGACTTCAAGCAGTCAAAACAGACGGGTACTGTGCTCTGGGGGAATCCAGCATTGATGAGCTGATCACCGTCGCTTAGGGCTTCGCTGGCCGGATGATTGTAGGCTAGACCCTATCAGGTAAAACAACGAGTCTATATACATGAACATTCCCCGACATGCAGTAACCTCAGGCCCTGTATTTTTCCTCCACATCCTCTGGTCCCAATGCAGGCAGCAGGAGGTAAAATATATCCATAAAACCGCATGCAGTCGAAAAATCTCGCTTTTACAATGGCACCAGTGGATGTCAGACAAGCTCACATGAATGTGCAACTGTCTGGAGATTATGACCATTCAAGGAAATCCTTAAACTATCACATAATACTTTATTTTGTTAGAAAAATGTCTTGCAGGCAAAAGTTTGTAAGACATGTATAAACTGAGTTTAGAAACACTAGAACATGCGTACACCTCATTTTTTTGAGTTTTAGGACATGTCTAAGATTGTACAATTCACCATTGTAACATTGTAGATGAGTCAGAAAACAAGGAAAACCATGCCATGGGATCTTTAACCAAATGTGTACACTCCATTTAGCAAACAATACTGTGTCCAAAAAGCTAACTTTGTTAAATAACTTCTCACCAAACTTTTGGTAAAACAGGAAATGAGCAGATTTTCACATTATATGTTTGATATTTTAATTTTGCAGTAGTTGTCAAGGTATTCACAGGTAAGCGCTCAGTGATTACAGTACTGATTCGTGGCACTGCTCACTGGTAGTTACTATTGTTCTAAAGCCCTTTAATGAGAGAGATTATTAAATGACCTTATATTGTCTATATCCTCAAAACACAACACATTTAGCTTAATTGCAGTGTTGTACTGCCATCATGGGCACATGCGATGCTGAGGAGGTGCTGGCGTCAGCAGTACTGAAGGAGAGCAACAGGGAGAGGCAGTTAAAGATATATGTGGGAGCAACAGAGGGTAGTAAGAAAGCTAAATTTAGCATCAACTATGTCAGCTCAAAAGACAACTGTGCAATCTCTGTTCACATAACTGTTCTTCTGCCATGCTGCTTTCAGTATTACACTTAAAGATGATAAAAATATTTACTTGTAAGCCTGCCAAAGTGTATTAACACAAGTGGATTTAAAATTAAATGTGTGGTGGTGGTTTTGTTTTTGTTTGTATCCTTTCCCCAGCCAATAATTTCCTGTTGTTCTTTGCTACAGAAGCAGTAGGAACAAGATAGGGTTGATCCACTATCATCTGTGGGGTAATGAGACTACCAGGATAATATGGTCAGCTGTGGTAGTGAGGTTCTATCAATAGGAACTTACCCATCATATTCTGTGCCCCTGCCCAGCTCACTTGCCGGGTTCCCTCCGCCAGTGCTTTTCATCCTGTTTTCTAGTTGTTGTCGTCATCTTATTGTGTTGTGTGCCATGCTAAAAACTTGAGTAAGGGTGGTATTTGTTTCCGAGGTGGAGGTTTATGGCAGTTGGGTGTTGTGTTATCATGTTAGCTGTTTGGAGAGAGATTTAATGGGCTCATCTGGAACTGAGTGACTGAGAAACACTGCATATACTACACTGTCTGCACACAATAATCTGTATGCACACAAACACACACATCCACACGCAATTTGTGCTTCTATTTATTACCTGAGGGCAGCCTTCCCCTGGCTGCTGAGATAGCACAATAACACATGCAGAGACTCCTCAGTATGAAAAATAGGACTGTGTGAGTGCGTGTATTGTGTGAATATAAGTGAGAGAGGATGAGAAAGAGAAAGCATTATCGAAGAACGGAGGGAGGAAGGGAAATCCAGACAGGAGAAAAAAAAAGTAATGTAGGGATATCTCCTCCCATTTTAGCCTGCAGCCATGGCCACTAGGCTGGCTGTCCTCTGTCTAGATTCTTTGAGACAAAGATTCTGATATAATAGCAGTAAGCTGGCCTTTTCTTTATTGCTGCATAATGCTGCTCCTGTGTTCTTTCAACGGCATTCCAGTATTTAGAGGCGTGATGTTTAACAAGATGAGAGAGACACATCGGAAATACAAAGCATACTGGTAACATTGTTGCTTTCAGATCAGCAATGGTGGATGAGGAAAGTGGGAATGTGCTTTTGCTCACCCTGCACATTTATGACATAATTGGGCCTTGAAGTTTTGTGCGCAGTGTACAACATGTTAACATTTAACATTAAAATTTAAATTCCCGGGTGGTGTGGTGCAGAAGCAATACTTCATCAAAGCTTCACACAACTCTGCTCTCAGTCCCTCGAGCCATCTCTGCCCTTTTACACAGAGGCCGAGGTGGAACGGCTGCACCAATTTTACTACCTCTCATGGAAGAATAAAGGGGGGTCAGCACTGACCTCCCCATGTCAGCTTGGTACAGAATGGCATGGCTGAAATTGCTGCAATAATCCCGCCCTGAATGGGCACTGTAACAGAGGCTTCTCTCTCCGCCCATCTCTGTGTCTGTCTAACCCTTGTTTACTCTCTCTTTCTGCCTCTCTTCTCAGCTATAGATAAATTACCCCACCATCAGACAGGCTGTGTAAGGCCTCTTCTGTCTTTTTGACAGACAGCTCCCTCCTCTGCCAGTGGGCAGCACAGTGGGTGGTAGACCTTTGGTTAATCTTCTGGTATGAGTCATTCACAGAAATTCGAGTTTTGGAATTCATCAAAGCACCGTGTAGACACATTCTGTAGTCTGTATTTAGTTTGTCAGTGACAGTATACATTAGTAAACAACTGAACTTCAACTACTGATTATTTCATTATCAATTAATAATTTATTAATTTAGTCTTAGTTGTCAGGAATTGTGAAAATGTCCTTTATATTTTTCAGAGCCCAAGGTGATATCTTAAATTGCTTACTTTGTCTGATCAGTGGTATGTAATCCAAAGATATTTGCACAATAATATAAAACAGAAAAAAGCAAGAGATTCTCACTAACCGCTAGAGATGGTAAATGGTTATTTAAAATAAATAAACAGGATAATCAGTTATGAGAATTTATATTTATTGTTTTCCTGTGGAAAAGGACTCTCCAAGACAAACTTCTTGGTCAGCAGTATCACACACACATTAGAAACCAAGAATACAGTACATGCAATCCAAAGAATTTGTCCAAAGTAGAACTGACTCCAACAAATAAATGAAGGGTTTGGAGTTCTGTAATATTTACTGGTGTACAGTTCCATTCATGTGTGGCTTCAATAGAAAAGCTTCATTAACTGAAAGCGCATTTTTGCAGTGTGATGGTGGTGATTATTTTTATGTGTTATCAAACTGTTTCAACATATTGCGTGAGCAATGGGGCAGTGTTTAAGAGAAAGTCAAGTCATCCCAGTTCACAATGATGAAGCACAATGCCTCATTATACGTGTGTGTGTGTGTGTGTGTGTGTGTGTGTGTGCCTGTAAACATATATGCTTTGCAGGATAGCTAGCAAATAGAAATAGGCTATTATTTTAGAGTTGCATTGAGATGATTGCTTTTATTTGCACATTTTAGAGAATGTATCATTGATTTGATAGTGCTGTGTTACAGATTAGTGTCCCTTGCACTTAGTGAATACTAAAGAGAGACACACTTAATCCTTATGACCCAACTCCTGCCCCTAATAGTTTCCAGGAGCTGTCACTAAAGCTGAGCCAAAGGAAATAGAGGTTGAAATGAAGCTTAGTTTGCCTGGCCCTTGGGCTAGCTATCTAGCTAGTTTGACTTAACGCCCACTCAAACATATCTCTGTAAAAAGGCCTTGTCTTATTCTCTGTCTGTTGGCCTTTACGTTGTCGTTCTTTCACTCCTGTTAATCCTTTGCCTTTTTATTGTCTTGCCATTTCCTGCTGTCTTTACAATTACTGTTCACCCTCTTTCTTTCCCTGTTATTATCTCTCCCTCTCTAAATCATGTGCCTTTTTTTTCCTTTTCCCATGTTCTTATTTTGCATTCCCCCATATCCCCCTTTATGTCTTCTCCTTTGAGTTTTGACCACTATGGAGGGTGTTCCTCAGAATTGCTTGCCAAGGTTTTTGTTTGAAATGAGGATTGTCAATGGAAAGGTTTTTCTGGGCACCGAGTGCGCTTTGGCTCAGACTCATGGATCAAAAGAAAGGGGCTGATTGTTGCTATGCTCTATATGTATGTATATATGTGTATATGTTTGCAAACACAACTGCATTTTTGTGCGGAGTGTGCCTACCTCAACGTGAAAGTGTCTGAATGCCATAGACGTGTAAACTGCGTGATGCACATTGGCCTACATTGCTTTAGTAATGAAAAGTCTAGGACACTTAAGTATTTGAGCTAAGCCTTAGTCTCTTTCCTTCATGTTTCACTTATTA